TAGTAGTAGTAGTAGTAGTAGTTGTTGTTGTTGTAGTAGTAGTTGTAGTAGTAGTAGTTGAAGTAGTATTAGTAGTAGTAGTGGTAGTAGTAATTGTAGTAATAGTAGCGGTAGTGGTAGTAGTAGTAGTAGTAATAGTAGTAGTAGTAGTAGTAGTAGTAGTAGTAGTAATAGTAGTAGTAGTAGTAGTAGTAGAGTAGTAATAGTTGCGAAATTGAACATATTCATATTAGACATCTCTTATTAGCATTAACTTTATCACAGTCATCATTTTGAAAGATCCTCACTACAAGTCATTGAATGTTTGTATGTGTGTATATATGTATGTGTGTGTGCGTGCGTGTGTGTGCGTGTGTGCGTGCGTGCGTGTATGCATTTATGTATGTATGTATTTATTTATTCATATTCCTATTTTTTCAAATCGAGTCAAAGAAAAACCAAAAACGCATGCGTGTCATGTGTGTTATCCTTATTACTATTGTCATCATTACACCCATCATCATTGCCATCATAGGAATTGCCACAATCATCATCATCGTCATCATCATAATCACCATCATCATCAGTAACGTCATCATCATCGTCATCATCATAACCATCATCATCATCAGTAGCGTCGTCATCAGCGTCATCACCATAACCAACATCCTCATCAGTAACGTCATCATTATCATCGTCCTCGTCGTCCTCATCATCTAATTACATATTCAGAAGAACCATTCCAAAGAGATGTTAATACTGAATTGAATAAAACTCTTTCTTTCTACTTCACTCTCTTGTTCTGTTCTCTCTCTCTCTCTCTCTCTCTCTCTTTTTACATACTCACTCTTTTTCTCTCTCTTTCTTTCACTCTTTCAGTCTGTCTCTTTCATTCTCTTTCACTCTCTGTTTTTCTTTCTCTGTTTTTGTGTTGCTATTTTTGTACTTTTCCATTCTTATCTCTCTCTCTTTGTTTTCAATCTCTCTTGCCCTCTCATTTTCTCTCTCTATTTTTTTCCTTTTCACTTTTTGTTGTTCTTCATTTTATCATTCTTTCTTTTCTTTCGGTCCCCTCTTGGTCGCCGTTTTCATATTTTCCTTCCTCTCTTCCTTTACTCTCCTAATTTTTTTTAATTTTTTTTATTCTTCTATTTTTTCTCTTTTCATCTATCCTTTACAATCTAATAATATTCTCAAATATCTCACAGGTCTTTGTTTTCAAATTTTCCGCTTTGTGTGTGTGCCTTTTCTCCAAACATGTATAAGTGTTTCTCAATGCATTATCATGAGCCAACTACTACAAAGTGTTAAAGATGGGGTTTTGTGGAGGTCGATGGTCGCCAATGTCCTGAAAGGATAAGGCCCGAGAAAGAAAGAATAACCATGGGCCCACAAATATTATAATACAAAATGGGCAAAACTAGATGGTTTAGTGGTTAAGGTGCCTGGTCCTGTAGTCGTAGTGACCGTGTTCAACTGCGAAGATATCCCTGTCAATTACATGCAATGTGTGTACTGAGTTGATTCACGTGCATTCGCATACGCTGTTGGTACCACTGGAAAATAGTTAAGCAAGAGATGTAAGAAATGAAATGCGAAACTATTTTAGAACATTTTGTTCACTAAATACACAACCACAACAAGCCCAACAATGACGTAGCGACAATGATGTAGTCACTCGACTGTTTGTTGACAACAAGTTGATAGCAACAAAACTTACCAAGACAGTAAAAATTACAGCAGCAAAAGCATTTAATAGCAGCACCAACATCATAACAACACTAAAATTATATCAATAGCGTGACGTCATCATCAAAACAACAGCAACAACAACAACAAACAACGACAACAAACAGCACCAGCAGCAGCATCAGCACAGACATTCAACAAGACACGGCCGATAGCGAATTTAATATCGACTGGTTGTTGACGCGAAACCAAAGATCATAAAAATTCACTTTTATGATTCAACTGTTTCCGGTTGTAAAAATGGATGCATCGTATAACGATCGTTCGCTGCTGAGGCGAACACAAACAGGTATGTTTCAATACAGCAACTTCACGGTATTTGTATATGAATACTGTAATACCATCTGGTGTTTTTGTTTTGATTTGTCTATTTGTTTATTATTTTTAGTACTTTCTCTTCTCTCTTCCTTTCCCTTTTTCTCTCTCTTTCTCTCTCTCTTTTTCTCTTTCTCTCTCGTACTCCTCTCCTTCTCTTTTTGTCTCACATTTCTTTCCATATACTATTTTTGTTTGATTCTTTTTCTTTCCATGTCATTTTTTCTCACTTTTTTCTTTTTTCTTTCTATTCCTTTCTCTTTCTTTTCACTCTCTTTCTCTCTCTCTTCCTATTCTCTCTCTTTCTCGCTTTCTCTGGGTGTATAATATAGGTTTAGGAATTTAGTGGATATTGTTTGGCAAAATTTCAAATTTTATACCCACGCCTTAGTAATATAAAGATTTATGTAATCTGTTTGCGTTCGTACGTGTTTCTCACAAGTCTTAGTGTGTTGGTTTTGTGTGTTGATGTGTGTTTGTGTGTTGTATGTATATATGGGTGAGTATGTGTTGTATGTGTAGTATAAATGTGTGTGTATGTGTGTATGTACTTGTATGAGAGCGTCTATAAAAGTGTGTGTAAACTAGGAAAGATACGCGCTGTGTACGTACACCGTAACTCCCTACGAATACGTGTGTGTGTGCGCGCGTGTGTGTGTGTGCGTGTATGTATTTGTGTGGGTGTGAATTGAATAACATCCGTGTGTCTGTATGTGTGCACGTTTAATTGAATATGTGTAGTTTTGTGTACGTCTTAGTTGGTGTGCGTGAGCGTGTTATTTTGCATGTGTATAAGAGTATTGTGAGATAACGTTTGCGTATTTTTGTACGCATCGTTATTCACATAAGTGTGTGAATATACATTTACTACTACTGCTACTACTACTGCTGCTACTGCTGCTACTACTGTTGCTACTACTGCCACGGTTACTATTCAAATGGTGAAGCCGACGACTATGAAATTTTATGCACATATACTTACATATTCTTACAACTTCTTTAATAGGTGAATTAAAGGCGAAGTAGAGTGTACATAAAATACATACATACAAACATACATACAAACAAACATACATACAAGATAGAGTGTACATAAAATACATACATACAAACATACATACATACAGCACACTACATACATGCATGCATATACACATTCATAAATACATGCTTAAAACACACATGCATGCATACTTACTTACATACAAACATACATTTTTTATTTGTCACAAGTGGGATATAGAGTTTGCTGTCTTTAAATAGCTATTTATATACATAAAAACGTATGTTAAAATAAGCACACGCACACATACACACACATACGTTTGTGAGTGGAATTATTTATATGTATGTTTATAAGGCAAAATGTACTTGAAATGGAAATTGATCAATAAGATTATGAATGAATGATTGGATGAATGAATGAATAAATGAATGAATGCATGGATGATTGGATGTATGGATGGATGGATGAATGAATGAATGAATGAATGAATAAATAAATAAATGAACAAACGTATGAATGAAAAAAGTGAATGAATAATAAGTAATTGTATGATTGAGTGTTTGATTGATCGATTGATCGGTTGAATGATTAAAAGAATGAATGAATGATTGATTATTTAAAATTAAAATGAAAGAGAAAAACTTGGAGATAAATTTGTCGATCCGGTAGAACTCTATTAAGAGTTCATTATTCTACACAGTCATTCATTCATGCATTCATTTACTTACTCACTCACTCACTCATTTTTCATCCATCTATTCCTTCATTCATTCATTCCTTCATTCATTCATTCATTCATTCATTCATTCATTCATTCATTCATTCATTCATTCATTCATTCATTCATTCATTCATTCATTCATTCATTCATTCATTCATTCATTCGCTCACTCACTCATTCATTCAAATTTTTTACTTTTGTTTTATTCAATTATATTTGTTCGTTCACTTTTTTTTTTTTAATTCCATTTATTCACAAAAAAAGTGAAAAAAGTCAGCCTAGCAATAAATGCTTATCTAGGGTTGACTCCCATAAAACAAGAAATAACATAGTAAGTAATCAAAAAAAAAAAAAAAAAAAACACAATAACATAAATGAGTAAAATAAATGTCTTTTAAATTCTTCAATGTTCTTAAATTTTCATGAATAAACTTAGAAATAAAACATCGATACATTTAAACTTAAAAAATGAATAAAATTAAGAATAAAATATTAATACATTTAACTTGAACAATTCAAAAATGTTCTCAACTTCTTTTTAAATTCTGTTAGATTATTAATTGATCTTAAATATTGTGGCAGATTATTCCATTTATAAGGTGCATAATAACAAAAGTTCCTGGATGTTATTTTATTTAAATTCATTAATGACTTAATTATATTAGTGTTGTTAGTTCTGTCAATCATGGGGTTAGCTATAAATTTAATTGTATTCATTAAAATTATATCAGTTATAGATGTTATATTGTTGATAATTTTAAATGTTAATAAAGATAATTTATAGGAATTTATTTCAAAAATTGATAAAATATTATTATTATTAAATATAATGTAATCGGCGTGATTATAATCGATTTTAAATAGAAAATTAATTATCTTTTTTGTGAGCTAAATAATTTGTTAAGTGTTGAAATGTTTGTATTACCCCATATTAGGTTACCATAGTAAAAATGGCTAGAAATTAATGATTGGTAAAGTAGTCTTTTAGTGTTATTATTTAAAAAAATTTTAACTCTTATCATTATGCCAAAAATTATATTGATAAAAATTAAAAATTTTTTAAATAATAATACTAAAAGACTACTTTACCAATCACTCATTTCTTTTTTTCACCAGTCTGTATCCGTATCATTTTGTAGAAAAAAATTTCATGAAAATTAAAAGAAAAACATTCAGAAAAAAACTTCGAAAAATAAAATAATAAAAAAAAAGAAAATCTATTGCTAGACGTAAGCATGCCAATACTGATGAGGAAATATTAAGTCAGTATCGTTTCGTTGAGGGAGAGATAACGAGCAAAAGAGAGAGAGTGAAAGAGAAATAGAGAAAAAGGGAGGGCGAAAGTGAAAGAGAGAGAGAAAGAGAAAGTGAAAAAGTGAAAGACTTATTTTGATAGTTAGAGAAAAAGAAAGAATGACAGAAAAAAAAGGATGAACAATGTTTTATATATATCTGAAAGAGATAGGGAGATAGAGAGAGAGAGAAACAGAAGAAAGAAAAATAGAAAAACAGAGACCGAGTCAGAGAGACAAAAAGAAAATAAAAAAAAGAAATAGAGAAAGAAAGAGAGAGATAGAGTGAGAGAAAGAACTCTTGGTGTAATTTGTGTTGCTTGGTCAGTCGGTTCGTGTTTGCTATAAAAGTTGTTCGCCGGCCAAATGTTTTTAAATTATTATCTTTGTTCTCGTCATTTTTATTTTCATTAAATGTCTTTGTGGGTAATTAGCGTCTAGTGTTCTTTATTTAATTAAATACCTTTGTTAATTTATCACTGATGTGTCTTTTGTCAATAGAACTGATGTTGTTGTCTTATGAATTTTCTAACTTGCTGGGTTTTACTGTATTTTTATTATTATTATTATTAGTAGTAGTAGTAGTAGAAGTAGTAATTGTTGCAACAGCAGTAGTAGTAATAGCAGCGACTGTAGTAGTAGCAGTAGTAGTAGCAGTAGTACCATAATTAGTAAAAGAGTAAAACTGTGCCATGAGTTGTAGATGATATATTGAACTGGTAGTAATAGCAATACTAATCGAGGTACTAGTACAGAAAATAAAGGTAGTTGTGTTAGTATTGCTTATACTTGTAGTTTCCTCGTTTTTCTTATTATTCATGTTATTCAGAGGTGTTCAGCAAGCGAACGAAATTGAAACATATTCACGTAGAAAACCTCGCTGCACACAAAACTCCACAAATTTCAAAATAGAAACAAATTGTGCATCGCAATTTACGAACATACGCCCAGAAAAAACACACCACACATACACACACAATCTCACACGCTCACATTAGCACACACACAACAACACAACATAACAAATAAAAAGCATTTAAGCTTCTTATTTGCATTTTAATTGGCTACCCATCTGATTGACGACGGAATATTGAAAAGGAGAAAATAAAATATAACTATGTAGTACATATATACGTATATACATATCTAAATAAACTGGTATGTATATATATATATATATATATATATATATATATATATATAGTGTCTTTGCGTCTGTGTGTGTTTGTGTGTGTGCGTCTGTGTGTGTTAGTGTGTGTGTGTTTGTGTATGTGTAGTGTAGGATATTCATCTGTGTGAATCAATGATGTGATGTTTGAACGTGTCTCAATTATTATTTTTGTTATTTTATAATTGAACTTATATATATATATATATATATATATATATATATATATAAGATATAGAAATATATATATATATAAGATATTGTAATATATATATGAAAAAATATATATATATAAATGGATATATGAAAATTGCAGTCTAAAATAATAAAAAAATTTTATCATTAATTTGAAAAAATTGAATAATATTGATTAATTAATTGCTCGAAAAATTGAAAAAACTTAGTTACAAACTCAACAATGCGGAAAATGCGGTGATTTTTCTTAATAACTGTATATATGTATATATATATATATATATATATATATATATATATATATATATATATGAATATATATATATATATATATGTGTGTGTTTGTGTATGTGTGTGTGTGCGTGTATAAAATAGCGTGCAGTGTATAATTATGTTTTGCGAGTGTGTCCTCGCATTTTAATTTGAGTGAGAGGAGCAAAAATTAAATTAGATGGAAAAAAAAAGTTTTTTTGTATTAACAAATCGAACGTGTTTGTGAAATAAGCGATTGCTCTTCAGGTTTTTCCATGCAGATAACATCGCGATATTAAGCTAAGTACAAATGATTAACATCTAACTTCAAGATACAAATAAACAATACAAAAATGCCTAAAATATACCCACATATCAACTGCTAACATTTAAAACATATACAACAACTAGAAAACATACAATTGTAAAGTTTAAAAATTAAATATACATCAAATGTATCTTTATGAATATAATTTGGCCACTGTTAAAAAGAACGCTACACAATTGCTGGAAGTGTGTGTGTGTGTGTGTGTGTGTATGTATGTGTTTACGATCGACAGAGAGAGAGAGAAAGAGAGAGAAAGGAGAAGAGAGAGAGAGAAGAGAAAGAGAAGAGTGTTTGTGTTTGATTGTGTGTGCGTGTGTTTAGATATTTATAGGAGGGAAAAAATATAGAGTGAGGATGAGGAGACAGAAAAAGGAGTGTGTGTGTGTTCGTTTGTGTGCGTGCGTGTATGTGTGCTAAGTATGTGATGTGTATACTGTGTGTATGTGTGTGTTTGTGTGTGTGTTTGTGTCTATGTGTGTGTGGTGTGTGAGAGAGTGAGTATGCGTGCGTGGTATGGTGTAAAGATTTGATGAATAGGACTGAAGGAAAAATTGATGGAAGGTAATTTTTAATTGTTAAAAAAATTAATGCGTCTATTAATAATGGAAATAATCTTTTTTTTGAAAAAATTAAAAAAAAAGAAATTTTTTTTTTGTGACGCAAATTTTTAATACGATATTGGTTGTCTTAGGTTTTCAATAATTTTCCCAACATTACTTATTAGATTTATTAATAAAGTTCATTATAATTTTGGTCATTTGATTCATTTTTCAATCTTTATTATGATTAATTAATTAATTAATTATTATTATTTAATTTTTATTAATAACTTTTTTATTTTATTTGTACAATTCGCCAAATAACAATTTGTGTTTTATCCACGTTCAACCTGACAAGACCATCACTCTTACTGGCCTAGGTTATCCATTTAAATTTCGCGTGCTCGTCTCTATTTCTCCGTGCCTGCGTGTGTGCGTGTCTTTAATTCTCTCTCTTTTCTGTGCGTGTGTGTGCGTATGTGTGTGTATGTATGTGTGTGTATGTGTGCGTGTGTTGTGTGTATGTGTGTGTGTGTCACTTTTTCTATCTCTCCTTCTCCTATATTTTCTTTTTTTCTTTTATCTCTCCTTTTTTTCTTCGTAGCTCTTTCTTTTTTTTAACTCAGTACGTTTTTGTGCCTCTTTTTATGTGCGTAATTATGTGAAAGTTTGTGTGAATTTTTGTGTTTATTTATACGTTTTTATGTGTGTTTGTATGTGTGTTTGTGTGTGTGTTTGTATGTGTTTTATTGGGTCTTGTATTTGTTTGAAACTCGTGGGTGTTTGTGCCTGGGTATGAGTACTAGCATACTGAGTGTGTTTTTGTGTTATCCTACATCTTATCTAGTTCGTATGCGTTGATACAATAAAAACGCAGGCACATGTTTACGATCACCCACTCAAGCAGGCATGTACAAACAACACACCACACACTTCAAATACTCTACAAACACGTCAAGAGCCTATTAAAAATACACGTCAAACACACGCCAGTTCATTCGGACACACCACAGCGCACCACAACGCACCACAACACACCACAACACACAACAACACACCACAACACAACACACCACAGCACACAACCTGCTTGATATACAACGGCGAAGATGGTGCTTAATGTATGTAGTAGCTTCTCTTGTTCTATTGCTTTTCTACCTGTCCGTGCTACATTAGGAATTAAATTTAAGACCTGATTTCTGGTTTCGGCAATTTTTTTACATTTTTCTTCCAATTTATACGCTGCTAGTGAGCACATTGTAATGTTAATTAAGTAAAATTAAGGGTGGGAGTTCATTATATCCTTGTAAAAGATGCTACACCATGGGGAGAATTTTTAAAAGCTATTCATTGGGAAAATAATCAACACTCCACACACTGGAAACACTCCATAGATAAATTAAAATAGACGAACCAACGTAATGTATTATAAGAAAAAAATACAAAAGAACATACTATCTTACACAACAAACAAACATATACATACAAACAAACAAACAAACACGTGCAAAAAAATGTCAAACACATACAATACAAAAAATATGCAAACACCAACATAATATAATTAAAAAAAAGTGTACAAAAGAAATGATTAAATAGAAATTCTTTTGTTTAATCTTCGTTCAACTATCGTTCCGCTGTATGAATTGTTTCATATGATTCCAATGTCTTTCCGCAAACCACCGACCATTCATTTTACCCATTTGTATGTTTTTTGTATGTATGTTTGTTTGATTGTATGTTTGTTTGTATGTTTGTTTGTTTGTATATTTGGTTTGAATAGTTGTAGGAATGTTCATGTTTGTGGGTTTGAATGTTTCATATGATTTCGACCAAGATCTACCATTCATTTATTATACCTATTGTATATTTGTTTGAACGTTCGTTTATTTGAACGTTCGTTCGTTCGTTCGTTTGTTTGTTGGTTTGTTTGTTGGTTTGCTTGCTTGGGCTATATTACCACATATATACATAAAAATAACAATTATTATAAAGTATGCATCGTACGTTAAACATGGCTAGACGGCGGAGAATGATTTGTGTGATCGTAATTCAGAAAATTATTTCACGAACATTAATTTCTTTTTTATCTCAGTTAAATGAGCATAATGTTTATATAATCGGAGGAATGATTGCAATGAACTCACGCGCGCATACATACAGACACACATAGAAAAACACACGCGCACATACATACAGACACACATACACAAACACTCGTGAACATTTATGCGTGTTTATGTGTCTTTCTGTTGCATAAGTACGAAGTGTATTAATACGAAACATTACCATCTCAGTGTACGAAAAATACCATTAAATACACGCACACAAGCACAAAGAGAAAGATAAATTTATGTTTTTATGTGTTTTGTGTGTATGTGCTGTGTGTATAGTTATTGTACGTGTGTGTATAGGTATGTATGTATGTGTGAGTGTGTGTGTATTTGTATGTAAGATGAATATTGTATTGTTTGTGTGTTTATACAGTTTCTTGTGGGATGTGCAAAACATGTATGTATGTGTGTGTGTGCGTGAGTGAGTGTGAATGTGCGTGCGTGTGTGTATGTAGCGTGTATGTGTGTTTACGTGTGTCGTGCCGAATAAATGTTGTATTGTTTGTGTGTTTATGTTGTTTGTATTAAGCATTTGAATCCACTGTTGACCAGCGTTGTGTCAGGGCGAGGTATTGTCAGCTAATTCTTTCATTATACGGATATTTACGATGTCGATTTCGTGTTTTTGTTGTTGTTTTTGTTGTGTGGTTGTTTTGTTGTTGATTTTGTTGCTGTAGGGTATTAGTAGTAGTTTTAGTATTATTATTATTATTATTAGTAGTAGCAGTAGCAGTAGTAGCAGTAGTAATAGTAGTAGTAGTAGTAGTAGCAGCAGCAGCAGTAGTAGTAGTAGTAGTAGTAGTAGTAGTAGTAGTAGTAGTAGTAGTAGCTGTTGTTGTTATTAGTTTATATTAGTAACATATTTTTATAGTTCTGTTGTTTTTGTAAAGCAAAGATAGTAGGCAGCTTTTTTTGGTCAAGATTGTTTCATAGCACTAGTTAATGTCTTTGTGGTTATGTGATAATGTGTTTGATTCAAGTTTATGTTTGACGTTATTTGTTATAAGGATTTTTGATGTTGTTTTGTTGATGTTTTAAACGTTAATGTTATTGTTGTTGTTAACATTTAAAAAAATGTAGATAGATGTAGTTATTATCCCTGCTGTTTTTGTTGCTATTAATAAATTATTATTATTGCTGTTATCGTTGTAATCATTATTATTATTGTTTAGTTGTTGTTACGGTGATGTCATTATCATCGTCATCGTTTTGTTGTTTCTTTTGCAACAACAACAACAACAGCATAGTTAGTTAGTTGTTTATGACCAAGATGTTGATTTAGATTATGACGATGTTGTTTTTAACAATTGCAGAATTCTTTTTGAATGTCTGGTGACAACGACGATTACATTAACGCCTATGATAACAACAACAACAACAACATTAAAAATATCAACCGCAACAACATTAACTAACAACTACAACAATAACGACAGCAGCAACATTAATAACATTAAAAACAACCACAACAACTACAACATAAACAATATTAACACTAATAACAACAACAAAGTAATAATAATAATAACATCAACAACAATAATAACATCAACAACAACAATAACATCAACAACATTAACAACCACAATAAATCTTAAGAATCTTGTCTTTTCAATTTCGCGAAATAAAGTATATATGTATGCATTTCTTATATAAATATATATATATATCTAACCAAATTGAAATAAATTGAATGAGTGAATGAATAAGAAAATGAATGAAAAAATGTATAATTGAATGCGTGAGTGAATTAATGAGCATATTAATGAATGATTGAGTGAGTAAAAGTGTGATTGAATGAACGAATAAATAATGAAAGGGTTGAATGACTTAATGAAACAATAAGTGAACGAGGAAACGAGCAAACAAATGAATGGATGAACGAACGAATGAATAAATGGATGGACAAATGAATGAATGGATGGACGAATGAATGAATGAATGGACGAATGAATGGAAAAGTGAATGCCCGCACTGAGATATCAATGTAGCAACATGAAAACTAGAATAAAAAAATCAAATGCCAATAAAAACCAAACACGCTTGTTCTCATATATGAATATAAATTACGAACAATCAGGCAGTAACAACGCAACACACACATATTCACACACAAACAAACAACACACACAATAACTCAAACAACACACACGCAATAACACACACACAAATACAAACACACAATAACACACACAAACAAACAATACAGACCTTTGTATCTAAGAAGAAACCTGCCCAAACCTTCCAATTGTTGCTTGGCAACCGTGGTCACAACCACGTTACTGAATTTCGACTTCAACAATTCACTCTCCTCCCCTCCGGTTGCGTGGCACGTGGTCACCCTGGTCACGTGGTCTGGAATAGGGATGTGACGAATGCTGTTGATGTTGTTGTTAGTTGATGGTAAGATGATGTTGGTAAGCATTCGCCGGTTCGTTATGATTTGGTCGATATCTTCGATCGTTAGCAGATCGTAGCATATCGGTTTGAAATCGGTTTTGAAGCGATTTGAATTCTGTAAGGAGTTACCGTGTCGGTATTTTTGATGATCGGTATTGTGTTTTCGGTATTTATCGGTACTTTCTTGGTATTCTGGCGAGACGTAACGCAGGTATAAAGTGATTTGCTGCCCTCTGGTTGTCGTTATTAACCATGGGCATGACGGTGAGGCGAAGTTGTGCTTCAGTGTCTGTACACTGCTGAGGTATATGCGATCGTCATCGTCGTCGTTGTTGTTGATGATGTTGTTGTTGTTGTTTAGGTGCTTTGTTGATGTTGTTGTTGATAGTGTCGATGTTGTTGCTCTCGCTTGCGTTGTTATGCGTTTGTGGACGAGACATTCGTTTGATTCGGTCTCTAGAGCTGTTGTGTTTGTCGGACTGGTTGTTGCTGGGTGTTGCTAATTGTATTTGTTTTTTTTGGTGTTTGTGTTGGTGTTTGTGTTGTTTTTGTTGAATGGTTTGTTGTTTATGATGTTGTTTGTGTTTTATTGAATGTTGGTTATTTTATTCGTTGTCGAACTGTGTTATAAAAGTGTGTGTGTGTGTTTGTTTGTTGTATGTGTGTGTTGATGATGTCATAAATGTTATTGTGACGTCATATTAAACGTCATATTACTACCTCTGACGCAGGCGTACGTGACTTCAATGTAAGCAGCAACATCTTCAGGGCAGGCAGTGCGCTCTCGAAGCGTTGTGGCATCGAAAACCCTGTCAGATTCAATTAATTAGTTTATTTATTTATTTTATTAATTTATTTATTCACTCAGTCATTCGTTTGTTTGTTTATTCATGCATTCATTTATTCACTCGTTCATTCATTTGTTCGTTTGTTGGTTCGTTCGTATGTTCATTCACACATACATTCATTCATTTATCTTTCCATTCATCTATTCAATCATTCATCCATTCATCCGTTCACACATCTATTCATTTATTCATTTCAATCATTGGACAGTTCATTTCTCAACCAACCGACCAACCTGAATCTGCACTCCTGGGCGCCCGTGCACATGTGGTCCAAGTGGAAGAGTGCATCCATCACACACCCAGTACCACCATAATCTCCTTTTACACATTTTCCTGAGTGAGTGAGTTGGTGAGTGAATGAGTGAGTAAGCGAGTGAGTAATTGATGAGTGACGAATGAATGAATGAGTAATAAGTTGAGTGTGGGAGTGATGAACGAATGAATGAATGAGTGAAAAAGCGAGTGAATAAGTAATAAATGAATGTCTCATTGAATTAATAAAGATTAAAAAAAATGAAATACGTTTAAATATTTTATAATATAATTCATTTAAAATTCGTTAGAAGTACAAATGCGATTGTACGTGTGTGCGTGTATATGTGTGTGAATGTTTGTGTGTATGTGTGCCTGTATGCTTACCAACCTATTTTCATCCTTCCATACTTGGCCTCTAAAATGACGATGACGTCATGAGGCCTTGTGCACGTGATCTGCACATGCTCGTCTTGGCAGAATTCTCGCGTGAATTTTTCTGAGGATATAAAATGGTTTCGATGATGGTGATGATGACGATGACGATGATGATTGTGATGATGGCGGTTATGATGATGGTGATGATGATGATGGTGGTGGTGATGATGATGGTGATGACGACGATGATGGTGTTGATGGTGTTGTTGATGATGATGATGATGATGATGATGATAGTGACGGTGATGATGATGATGATGATGATGACGATGATGATGGTGGTGATGGTGATGATGACAAAGATGCTGATAATGATACCGTTGCGTCCTGAGGTAATGATGGTAAAGATTTAATTTTGACAAATCGATACCTTAATCTCACCGCGGCCTTTCATCATCATCAACCACATCGGCATCATTATCACCCCCATCTACGTCATCGTCTATGTCATCGTCTGCGTCATCATCATCATAACCATTGTCTTCTCTTCGTCAGCATAATTAATACCACCATTATCATCATCAACATTCAATTATTCATTCACTCGTTCTTTAATTAATCTTGACATTCAATTACTCATCAATTATTTAGTAATGAAAGAGTAAACAAATTCATTCAACAAGTCATTCATTCATTCATTCATTCGTTCGTTCGTTCGTTCGTTCGTTCATTCATTCATTCATTCATTCATTCATTCATTCATTCATTCATTCATTCATTCATTCATTCATTCATTCATCTATCCATCCATCCATCCATCCATCCATCTATCCATCCATCCATCCATCCATCCATTCATTCATTCATTCACTCGGAGGTGCATGTACGTTAGTGGAATGACAATCAATTGGACGAAAAATAATTACATGCGACGCAATTAATTCAATTTTATGCGACAGATGGCTTTGCAGAAAAACAAAAACAAAGCAAAACAAGAAAAAAAAATATTAGGAAGTAGATTTATAGTGGAAAAAACGACAATAAAAATGAACAAAGGGCAGAAAAAACTCAAAAAAATGTGTGGGTTAAATGTTTGAATGAAATTTTTTGTCGGAAGAAAATGATGTAGAAGTGAAATAAAGAAGGAAAGAAAGAGAGAGGAAGAACTGAAAGAAAGAGGAAAAAAGAGAGAGATGGAAGAAAAGAACGGATAAAAATGAGAAACAGAGAGAAAGAGAAAGAGGGGAAGAAAAAGAGAGAGAAAGAAAGAAAGAGAGAATGAAAGAGAGAAAAAAAGAGACAAAGAGAGAAAGAAAGAGATAAAAGAGATGAAAAAGATAAAAAGACACAAAAATAGAAAGAAAAATTAAATAGTTAAAGATAACAACGGAAAGCCGAAAAATGTTGCGAGATTATTTACAAAAAAAATTCTTCAAAATAAATGAAATAAAAAATGTTTGACGCAAAAACACGTTGTGGGGGGATGACGTTTAAACGTTAATTGATGCATTTATACACACTACACAGACACATACAACACACACACACAGACAAACACACACATACATACACTCACACACAGATACACAGACAGACACACACACACACAACACTTGTATAGCGAGATGGATTGAACTCGACCAAAAAATAAACTTGAAGCGTTTGCTTTATGAAAACTTTTGTAATAAATAAAAAATTTGTAATGAATGAATTACTAATTATAAATTATTTTCGTTAATATTTTTTATAATTTTTGATGGGAATAAATAAATAAAATTAATTTTTCAATTATGACTTATTTAGCCCGCTTAACAAATACATCGTCAAGTATATTATTTAAAAGCATTTCAATTCCTTGCATTAATAAATACGTGCGTGTGCGTGCGTGTGTGTGTGTGTGCGTGTTTTGTGTGTGTATGTGTTTTTGTGGTGTCCGTGTGTATAAACAATACTGCTGACAGCAACGTACAGACAACATAAACCACACTTTTTAGTTAATTTTATGTAACTATAAATCATAGCACTCCAAGTTATGGTATTCAGCACAAGTATCATTTTACTTCTGTCTGCCTATATGTCGAAGAAAAATTAAAAGAGCATTGCTGTTAACACCACAAACAAGCAAACACACAGACAAACAAACGAACGAACAAACGAACAGAAAAACAAACCGACACAAAAAACGACAATCGAACAAACAACAACCTAAACCATAACAGACAAATATCCTAAGCCTCATTACCAACAACAACAACAACAGAAACGTCCTTGGCCATAAAACAACAACAAAACTCTAGTAACAACAACATGAAAAACATATATAACAACAACTTATACAACAGCAACAACTTACGAAGTAAGAAAAAAACGCATGTAACAGCAACAACACATGTAACAACAAACAACAACTAATGTAACGACAACAGCAACACATGTGTTAACAACAACAGCACACGTAATAACAATAACAATAATAATAATAATAACAACAAGCAGTACTCATTAAGATTGAAAGCATGAAAAAGACATGTTCAATTTAATTATTCATAAATTTATGGCGCCAAGCGACATCGGCCATCTTGTACACACGTACCCTCATACAAAAATCATACAATTTATAACCATCGTATGTATGTATATATGTTTGTATGTATGTATGTTTGTATGTTTGTATGTATGTATGTATGTATGTATGTACGCAAGCTCGTACGCACGTATGTACGTATGTATGTATGTATGTATGTATGCATGTTTGAATGTGTATCTTAATTGATAAGATTGCAAAAAATGAACGGTTTTAACCATAAATAATGCATAGTATGTATGCATATATGTATGTATGTATGTATGTAAAAAAAATGGCGTCCAGGTCGCTTGTATTAAATGAGTTCCTGTATTATTTAGAAAATAATTGGAATTTAGTTGAGAATGAAACGTTTATTAATAATATATCTGTATTTTATATTCATGAAGATATTGTAAATGCAATTAAATTGCTAAAAAGTGAATTAAATAATTTTAAAATTGAAAAAAGTGAAAAATTGCAGTCGCGCGGGAACATGAAAATTGAGAAAATATTGGAATGTATATCGTTAATTAAACAGTTGAAAGAAAACAAATGTTGGGACAAATGTCCATTATTTGTTAGTTGTAATTTAGTTAATAGTTAATAAGTTAATAAATAGTTAATAAAGTTCCAAAGTCTGAAAATTTGTTAACATTGAACTTCGAAACTATCAAACTAGAATTAAAAGATATATTGCACAAACAACAGGTGCAACTTAACAAAGTTATTGAAACTGTTGAAAGTAATAAAGCTGATATTATTTCATTAAAAAACGTTATTAAAACTGCTGATATTAATAAACCAGAAGTAAATAAATTGAAAAATAAACTAAATTCTAATGTTGTAAGTGACTACAGTACTGAAATGACAAACAAGGAGGGACAAAAGAAAAATGTCAGTAGTTCTCTGTGGTCAGACATAGCAAAGTCAGAAGACAACGGTATCCCGTTCTCAACTGTAAACGGAAAAAAATCACGTCGAAATAACAACAATTGTGAGAAACAAAACAACTCAGGAGAAACCAGCAACAACCCAACAAACAACAAACAAACTGGAAAAAAGACAGCTATGAAAATAATCGGTAAAAAAGTTTCAAATGATTGCAAACTGAAGGCAGATAAAATCTTGATGAAAAAATCTGTGTTCTGTTTAAGCAACGTCAGCAAGTGCCACAGAAATGATGTGATGGCCTACCTAACCGACAATGGTATCCATGTTGTTTCCTGTTATCCCGTACTCAAACAATTCAATAAAATGGCACCAGCTTCTACAGCCGACGTCAATAACAATAATAATAGTCAAACTGAAAATAAAAAAAACAGATGAAGAAGAATCCAGTACGTTTAGAGTTTGCATCGATAGCTCTGATTCTAATAAAATGAAAGACCCTGACATAATGCCCGAGCACATTATAGTACGCGAGTGGCAATTCAATAAGAAACCAGAAACAATTGTCAATCAAACAAAAAAAGATGGATAAACAACATGTTGATAATGATGATGACAGCAGTGATGATGAAGAAAAAGACAATTTAAACCCCAAGCAAACTACATGTAAAAGGTATAACAATTTTAAGTAGTTGAATGATGAATATAAATTAATAAATAAAGATTTTGATAGCAGTATGTTTTTCAACTTAATGCATTTGAACATAAGAAGTTTGGTCAACAAAACCGATGAATTAGAAAGCTATTTGTCAAACAGTCACATCAAATTCAATGCAGTTGCGATAACAGAAAGCTGGTTAAACGAACGTACTGAAAGTTTGGTTGGCATGGATGAATATAGATATGTAGACAAAAATCGTCATGACAAACACGGTGGAGGGGTTGGTTTCTATGTCTGTAATGATTCTACCTTTCGAATAAGAGATGATTTAAATACCATTGGCTCGCCAAAGTTTGAAATGTTTGCAATAGAGATCATTAACAATTTTAAATATAAAAATTCAATTGTGATGGTTAGCTATCGACCTCCAATATACGAAATTAAACAATATTTTAAAGAATTAGAACAAGGTTTACAAATAACTAGTAATGAAAATAAATTTGTTTATCTTTTGGGAAATCTAAATATTGACTTATCGCCAGAAGTTAGCAGTATAAATAAAATTCAATTGAACCAACTTGTGACATGTTACAACCTCAAATCCATGATCACAGTTCCTACAAGAATCAGTAACACAAAAAAATCCACTATAGACATTTTGTTTACAAATCATCCAGAAAATATTATACAATGTGGTATCATTTTATGCGACCTATCAGACCACATCCCACTTTTTGCTTCCACTAATCAAAAAATAAATAATAAGACAGTTGCTGACGTTACATTTTCAAAATATTCTTATTCAACACACAGAATAAATAATTTAAATGAAGGTTTATGTAATGCCGATTGGACAAGTGTGCTGAGCTGCGATGATGTAAATGTGGCCTTCCAAAATTTCATCGACATCTTTCGGTTACATTATAAAACTTATTGTTCAGTGACCTCTAAAAGACAGGCTCAGAAGATGACAAAAAAACAAACCGTGGATAACTAAAGAATTTTAAAAAATGTTAAAAAGAAAGAAAATGTTATATAAAAAATATCTAAAGCACTAGTGATGGTACGATAATCGAAAATTCGATTCGATTTCGATTCGATTTCGATAATCGAAATCGAATCGAATTGTTCTACAATTCGATTTCGATTTTTTAAAGCGTGTATGGAAAATAAAAATATTCCACCGTTTTTTTTTATTTGGGTCTATATAGCATCCATATACGTAAAATAACATAACATGTATGATGATAGCATCGTTTCATTGATCGTCGATAAACTTTAGTTTAAATTTTTTTATTATCTTTCTTTGGTTAGAGTTAAAAGTTGATTGAATTTGAATTTTTAACGCGGGTGTTTTCCATCTTGTTTTTCGATTGAGTTCAAGTTATTTAGATTAAGTTATTTTATTTAATTTTTTATTAACGTGACACACGAAGAAGAAAGTATGAGTTGTAGTAATAAAGCTTACACTAAGGAATACAAAAAACGCAGCGTTATATATGAATATTTCACACGAAATAATGCAGAAAATGCTACGTGCAATGTATGCCAAAAGCAAGTGAAGGCTCCAACGGGAAACACTTCGAACTTGAAGCAACATTTGCAAAATACGCATCCAAGTTTGTCTGAAGAACTAAATGCCAAAAAATCTTGCGTTGAAGAATCGAAAAAAAAGGTGCGTTAAAATTTGTTTTGTTCTTCATTTTAAAAATTAAAAACATTGCAACTGTTATAAATCTAAATTAATGAATATTCATTTAAAGTTATTATTAGTTAAGTAGTTAATATATCTTGTCACTATAGGATGATAACAAAGGTCAAACTAGTATGTTTGACTATTCGACCTCTGTGAAAGAATGGGAACCGAACCATCCCCGAGCTAAAGCAGCTACTTTGACGTTGGCAAAAATGATATGTACCGACTTACAGCCTTACAGCATAGTACAAGATAAAGGTTTTGTGGCATACAGCAAGTCTTTGGAGCCACGTTACAAGTTGCCTGATCGCCACAAACTGTCTAAAGAAATCATCCCAGGTTTGTATGAAAGTTTCAAAAAAGACGTTGCAGAATCCATTCAACAAGTGGCATCATTGGCTTTAACAACCGATGGGTGGACGTCAAAGACCAACGATTCGTACTTATGTTTCACGGCTCATTATCTTGACGAAAATTTCGTCATTCACAACGAATGCCTTAAAGCAACTCATTTTCTAGAAAGCCACACTGGTAGAAATTTGGCTCAGGCTATTGATGACTGCGTAAAAGACTGGATACCAAATGTCAATATTACGATTTTTGTTATTACAGACAATGTAATTTTTGTTATTTTTGTTATTACAGACAGCTAATATGAAGTCGGCTATGAAACAGCTCGCAACATTTCAACATTTTACATGTTTTGCACACACTACAAACTTAGTAGTCACGGATGCTATCAACAGCAATAAAGAGATAACAACGCTCCTGACTAAAGCGAGAGCTATTGTTGCACATTTTCATCGCAGCAGTAAAGCAACACAACGTTTACTGGTGGTACAAAGGCAGTTGAATCTCCCTACACACAAACTTAAGATGGAGTGCGTAACAAGATGGAATTCGACTTATTATATGATGTCACGACTTGTAGAACAAAAAGATGCATTGAGTATGTTACTGGCTTCGAGCGACACAATAGAAAACCTAACTGCACAAGAATGGAGAATGGCTGCCGATTTTATCAAGGCTCTTAAACCTTTTGAGGAAGCCACCAAGCTTATTTCTGGCACAAGATATCCAACTGCTTCAATGGTCATACCGTTGCTGAATATTTTGCAAAGAAAAATGGAAGATTTTAGTGTCAGCGGTGAACACATCAACTTGAAAACTACATTAGTTCATGGCATTAAGGCACGTTGGCCAGATCACGAAAAAAATAAAGTGTTTGCGATGGCAAGCTTAATTGACCCAAGATTTAAACGATATGCATTTACAAATGAAGAAGCCTCAAAAAATGCTTGCGATGACGTTGTAGATAAAATGATCTTTGAACATACATCTACACTTCCTTCACCTGGTGCACAATCTGTAAATAAAGCATCTAATGCAGAGGAAGTTGGAAAAAAAGAGTCGGCTCCTTTCGACTGTTCACAAATATCGTTATGGGGAACATTTAAAGATATGGTTGCCGCTGCTGCTGAAGGACAGCAACGTCAATCACCTAAAGATAGAATGAAAAGTGAACTGGACTGTTTTCTTCAAGAACAAATTATTGCTCCTGAAGAATCTGTTTACAAGTGGTGGGCCGATAATGCATCTCGCTTTCCAACAATTGCTAAAGTGGCAAGAAAGTATCTTGCAATTCCTGCTACATCTGTGCCTAGTGAACAGATTTTCTCCATGTCTGGTCAAATAATGAATGAACGACGAAACCGACTAAAACCAGAACATGTGGAACAATTAGTTTTTTTATGTCATAACTTGCGGTTGAACTAAACTTTAACATCCTTTATTTGATTAACTGCTTTTTAAAAGAATGTTATCAAATTAAAATTAGAAATTATGCCAGAAACTTGTTACCAAAAATTTAAATGCAAATTATTGTGTTGCTTTTCATTTGAAAAAAAATCGAAATCGAATTTTTGTAACCTAAAATAATCGAAATCGAAATCGAATTGATATTTTGACATCGAACCATCATTATAAAGCACACATCGTCAGACAACTTTACAGCACTCAAATCATGCAGCAAATTATGCAACAAGATCAAGTGCCAGTTGAAAAGACAATATTATTTTAATCTTCTACAACAAAGCAATGGCGACAGCAAAAAAATATGGTCAATCATAAATTCTTTAACGAAACGAAATAACAAAAAAACATCAACAATTCAATTAACTTTAAATGATGATCCAATTGATAATCCTGAAACTATCCTCAATAATTATTTCATCAATCTGGCCTCAGATATGCAGGAATCATTTGTAGAAGACACAAGATGGAAAAATTATCTTCAAAATGGGTCAGTAAATTCATTTTTTGTAACCGTGTTTCATCATCTGAAATCATTTCAACCACAAAACTTTTCAAACCCAAGACGTCGAGTGGTTACGATGAAATATCAACCAAAATAGTAATATCAACAATTAAATCAACAGCAACAATTCTTGAATATTTAATCAACTTATCATTTGACAAGGGCATCTTTCCTAAGTGTTTCAAGACATCCAAAGTTGTTCCAATTGCAAAAGAAAGAGGTAACTCAGAGGTTAAAAACTTTCGACCTATATTTTTGTTGCCTGTTTTTTCGAAGATTATTGAAAAATTGATGCACAGTCGTTTGCTCAAATTTTTTGAAAAAATAACATTCTTTCTAACCATCAATTTGGTTTTCGAAAAAACCACTCAACTGAAATGGCAATACTGGAACTGATTCAAAAAATTGGAGTCGCAAGTGAAAAGAAAAATTATGTAATTGGAATATGTCTCGATCTTTCAAAAGCTTTTGATTGTATTGACCATTCGATTTTATTACACAAACTTCATCATTATGGTATAAGAGACTCCAGTTTGACTTGGTTTCGTAGCTACCTTTTATCAAGATATCAATTCGTTACCTGGAACAATAAAAATTCAAGTAAATTGATCAACAAAATAGGCGTTCCGCAGGGCAGCATTTTGGGACCATTGTTATTCATAGTGTTTGTGAACGATCTACCGATGGCCTCAAAATTTTTTAATTATGTTTGTTTTGCTGACAATACAAATGTGTTCAGCAAAGGAAAAGATATTAACATACTCATCAAATATACAGAAGAAGAAATTAAACATGTTAATTCTTGGTTCTCACTAAATAAACTTACTTTAAATAGTTCTAAAACGCAAATGATAATCTTTGGACCAACTCAATATTTAAACTACAAAGAACCTTATAAAATTAAAATAAATAATATTGATATCTATGAAAATAAAACAGTTAAATTTCTGGGCGTTCATCTAGATCAAAAGTTAACGTTCCGTGATCACGTTAATAGTGTTGCAAACAAACTTGCCAAATCAACTGGTCTGATGAACAAGGTGAAATTCTACCTCACAAAAAAGTGTCTGAATTTGTTGTATCACTCACTTTTTATGCCACACGTGATTTATTGCAACATTGTCTGGGCTGGCACGTATCCTTCAGTCACGGATCCGGTTAAACTTATGATGAAAAGGGCCGTCAGAACCATCACCATGTCAACGATGAGGTCTCATACCAAGGAGTTATTTACGACAACCAATAATCTTAATTTTAATCAATTGAATATTTATCGTACTTTGATTTTTGTGTATAAGCAGCTTAATAATCAATTGCCTAATACGTTTGCTAATTATTTTAAACATGCTAACAGTCATAGGATGTCTAATTATTTGCAATCGAATAAATCAAAAACTAACATTTTACATTCGCATGTAATCTGTAAGGGTCCTAGGACCTGGAATAACATTATTAAGAATGGTTTTCAATATAAGGCGAAATCGGCAACTGATTTTAAAAAAAAGTTAAATCGTTTTTAATAATTAACAATTATTAAAATTATTATCCTTATTAATAATGTAGAGATGTTTATAAAATCACTAAACATTTAATGTCCTAGGACCTGGAATAACATTATTAAGAATGGTTTAATTTAATTTAATTTAATTCTATGATTAATAATTTAATAAATTATATAAGAAATGTATTTACATCATGAAATTTATGTTCTCTATCTATAAACAATTTCTGTTGATATTTTTAATGCGATTATAATTATTTATGAAACATTATTTTTTAGTTAACTACCTTTTGTTTTATTATCTGTTATTAACATACTAACAACTAACAATGTTTGATATTAACCACAAAACTCTGAACATATTTGTCTAGGTGGCTGTGCTAGATGAGCCCATTAGGGGCTCCATCACATTAATCCCGTCTCTTATTTATTATCTGTAATTTTGAGGAGCAAATAAAATTTCGTTTCGTTTCGTTTCATAGGTGCAAGTCCTTTTCAAACATATGTTTATATGGGATTATGCTTCTGTGTGTGTATGCTTCTGTGTGTTTGTGCGTGTGTGTTTGTGCGTGTGTGTTTGTGCGTGTGTGTATTTGTAAATATTTGTTTTTTTAGATCGCTTATATTTATCAACATATCTAAGCTAAACTGTTTTTTTAGATTTTTGGCACACACACTTTATAAAAAAAACACACACACAGACACACACAAAAGAAACAAATACTATACTCACACGTGAAAATGCAATACACACAATACATGCCCGTAAAACACAATACAATACCCCGAAAGACAGCAGAGTACCAAGAGGGAAATGTTGAACTGAGAAATAGAGGGTCAAAAACGCACTTAGATATTATCAGCGTTAACAGCGGTGCGTAATGCCGTTATCTTCAAACTCATTTGTTTAAAAGGCACATCAGCAACATTAAAATGCCAAAAAAAATACAATAATTCAATACAAACATATACAAAAATATACAACAAATTTTACAACACAAAAAATATACAACAAATTATACAATCCAATACAAATATATACGTACGTAAAACCATACGTACGTTTCTTTGCGGTCGTGTGTGTGTGTGTGTATGTGAATGTTTATATGAAAAATTTTGCATGCATAGACAATTATTATTTTTATGCATTGTTTTATGCATATAATTGTTTATACATTCAATATTTTCTTACTTTATCTATGCTAATAATATTCGCTTGTTTATGTCGACAGTTAATATTCTTTGTTTATGATTCTCTCCGTGCTTTTGTATATGACGTTGTTTATATCTAGGGCGTTTTTATATATTTATATTCTATAATTTTATATATATTAAATTATTTATTTATAATTATTATATTTTTATATATTCTATATTATTTTTATTTTTATGAGTTTTTGGGTTCCGGTTATGCTCGTGCTCAAGAATTAGCATAAACATCCTTCATAAACTGTGATGGTGTATATAATAAAGAGCTACATAGAAAATGAAACAATGACGTCATCATAAACGCAGACGTTAACAACGAAGTGAACATAAACAAAGACAAATTGCACTTGTGATATTATGCAAGAAGAAAGAATAGATACAAATATTCACACACACACACAAACACACACACCTACACACATACATATATATATATATATATATAACTACGCACATTTACAGAGATTTAACACAAATTTTTAAAACAGTACATTGTAGATACGCATAAACGTGTATAAGCCTTTATAGACATGCACATAAACCCTTATTTACACTCTCAAACATTAGAACTTATACTTTCCCACAGACGAACACACGCACAGACAAACGCACAGACGAACACACACAGACGAACACACACAGACGAACACACACACACACAGACAGACGCACACGCACGTAAAAAGTCATCAAATGAAGTTCGCGGTGACTTGACGATTCATCAACGTTCAAACGACAACTATATGCTTAGAGAACATTGTTTTTTACGTTATGTTTTGCTTTTTGTTTTTTTTGTATTTATTTGTCTTTTTTTTTAATTTTTGTAGTTTTATATTCTATTATACAAACATACACATAAATGTATACAGATACCCATACAAACACACATATATACATACATACATACAAACGGAACGTACATACATACATGCATACTTACACACACACACACATACACACACACATACATACATACATACATACATACATACATACATACATACATACATACATACATACATGCATACATATATATAAGATGAAAAATGATGACAACGTTGATATGGTGATCATTTGCGATTGTAATATTAACATTCTTGAATGTTGTTGTTGATGATGATGTTGTTGTTGTTGTTGATATTGTTGTTGCTGCTGTTGTTGATATTTCTGTTGTTGCTTTTGTTGTTGTCGTTATTGTTGTTCTTATTACTGTAGAGTTGTGGTGATGTTATTTTTGGGGATTTTTTTTTAGTGCTAACGACATTGAGACTGAAATTATTTTGATAAATTGTTTTTGGGTGTCAGTATATTTGATATTGTCGTTGAAGTTGTTGTTGGTGGTGGTGATGCTGATGTAGTAATAGAAGTAGCAGCAACAGCAGGAGTAGCTGTAGTAGTAGTAGTAGTAAAAGAAATAGTAGTGGTAGTAGTAGTAGAAGTAGTAGTGGTAGTAGTAGTAGAAGTAGTAGTTGCAGTAGTAGTGGTAGTAGTAGTGGTAGTAGTAATAGTGGTAGTAGTAATAGTGGTAGTAGCAGTAGTAGTAGTAGTAGTAGTAGTAGTAGTAGTAGTAGCATTAGTAGCAGTAGTAGTTGAAGTAGTAATTGTTTTAGTAATAATAATATTTGCAGTAGAAGTACCACGTGTTTGCATTAGTTATAGTTAAAATGGTGTTGGTAAGAGTAGCGATTTTTGTTTTAAACCATTCTTTTTTAGTGGAATTTTAGAACAGTAACCGTTAAATATCGTTAG